GCGGCACCGGCAATGAGCTCGTGAGAGAGGTGACCCTCGTGCTTCTCAGGCTCCTGCATCCGGCGGTGAGCCTCCTCGGATTCTTCTATAAAAGGAATTCTGTTAGCCATCGCAAGTCATGTGGAGACCAACTACCCCGCCGTTACGAGAAGTTTTGAATTTCGACAAACAGGGGAACCCTTCATAGCTCGCATGAGGGATAACTTGGATGAATTCTGTGAAGATTAACGAGGAGAGGAATGACTTACGCCAGCCCCAAGCCATTGTGAATGATGTATGTGATATGTAAAAAGGAGGGAGAGGGTGGAGATGGGTTAGATGAGTAGGATTATTCTTTGATAAAGAATGATGAAAAGAAGAGTCTGAGCAGCAGGGGGTGCGATGCATCTTAATATACCCCGACACACCCCACCAAGCTGGCGTACTCAGCTTATCGCTACCCCTCCATCTGCCTACATTGCTTTCTGCCCCACCTATCTCATTTCATGAGGATCGGGTTTCGGACCTAGGCGAGAAAGGAGGCAACCCATGCGATGGGTGGTGGACCAATCGAACAGATCACATCCAGTGATCAGACGGAGAGTGTGCCACGTTACCAAAAGCATAACAGCGGATGCGGGATAGGAGGCGATCACTGATAGGAGTGCTTCCATGCGCGACGATGTACATCAGCCACCGCCAAGACACCCAGGCGAGGAGACGCTGGCGCTTAGCTTCCTATGGTACCAGACTATGGTTTTGTTGACTCCAACCACGGTATGGGTTTAATGGACACGATCCAGTTGTCGGGGCTCTTGGCAGAGGAGAGGGGCGTGGCTTGAAACGTAACGAAGATGAGAGTGGATCAAGGTCCCCATTTCCCTGCAGGGAATCCGTCGCAGCGTGTTTTGCTCATTTCAAAGGATCCCGCCTAAGGCATCGACGAGGGCTACACAGCACAGTCTCCGGTGGATGAGAGTAGATAGATAGTGCTTAGTATCGTTGCAAAGGGACCGTTAGGGTGAAACCGCTAATCTTGTCATAAACGGAGTACTGTAGGTACGGAGTACATACGTGTCTCCAGAAGATCCATAGGCTATGCAGCGCCGATCGAATGGGGTGGGTCGTGCCCCCTCAGCCTTACTCCTGGGCGCGTAAACTAAAAATATGGCCATCAGCCACGGAGCCACAAATTCCGGTAGCCATGAAGCCGGTCGACCCGAGCCTCTCCCTCCTGCCAAGCTTCTCTTGTCCAAGGCTTGTCGGCGCCTTATGCCATATGCCAGGAGACCCGCGTCGGCCGTTTCAATCAAACAGTGGGAAGGGATAGATCCCCAGAAAAGGATTACAATAATGCCTTGAAAACCACAAAATAATTAAAGAGGCTAGTGATGAATCATGGACGACGCCCCTGCATCAGGAATGGAACAACTTGTTTCATTTCCCTTAGTCACTGGTAACTTCGCTTCTTTTTTTGGCTCATTGAGTGGAGTGTCGGAAGGCACCATTTTGTTTGGGGCAAGTGTAATGATTATCCCCACTTGAGAACATCAGGAGAGGTGAAGTGAGTAAATCGGAGTAACAGAAATGCCTTTGGGCCGAGGGCCAGCAAATGGCCTCCGACGTCGCCGGTAGTGGCGGTGAATAGTCCATGGGTACCGCAGGCACCCACGCAGCTTTCCTCCGTATGAAAAGGAGGCCAACAATCTGTGGCTGAGGCTGAAGTGGGGACAAGGAGGGGAGCCTGAGGTACTAGTAACAACTAACTCGGAATACCAGACTACGTACGCTTTCAGCAAGGGGGTCTCTTTGCCATGCGGAGTGTTTCCGGTGCGACTTCCACGTGAATCTTGTTGGATATTGTCCGTTCAGTCGTGGTCGAACTGCCTTCCCCTTAACGTTGGAGCTGTCAACTGGGCTCTTCTCGCTGGGAGACTGCGTATTTTTGGCACTGCAGCTCAAAATGCTACATTCACTCCGTACACTCAGCTAAGACGCATTTGTCCCCCATGGACGACCGCCCTGGTAAGTTTCATTGCAATGGGTATGATCTACTATATCATCCGTATTCTCTATCTTAGCGGCAAACCAAAGTACTGCTAATCGTGATGGGGGTCTGGAGACAAGAGAAGAAATCAAAATTCCCATCTCATGCAAGGATTGAAAGACGTATGCCAAATTGCAGCTCTTTGTGTCCGCCTACGTTATATCATATGCAAATGAACGACCGCTTGCCTCTTGTTGACACTGCAGGAAGGACTGCATCAGGATCAGCTTTCCGTCCATGTAAGATGCCTCAGGCCGGTAAACTGGTGACAAGAGGGTTCTTGCCGGTTGAGTTGGCGTTGATGGAAAGTAATCACGTTCAACCAAGGAATGGTCCGTTCGTGGCATTCATATGGGAAGCCATGGCGTCAGCTGTGGTAAACGAACTGGTCCTATAAAAAGGCAGTGACTTTTCTACACTTCTGAGGATACTTACAAACAGTGCTTTTACACCAAGTCTCTCAGAAGTGAAGTGGTCCGCACTTGGCAGAATTACTGCAGTTCGGCTTGCAAGTATTATCAAGTCTCTCCTATACTAGTATGACTTTCACCATTTACTAGTATAATGTTTGGTTGAATTTTGAGAGAAGCATTCACACGCCAGGGGCATCCGGAGAGGCTATCTTGTCTGTTTATTGGTTTATCGAATAAGCGACATTATTAGACTCTGAATTAAACTAAATATAGTAAAGATTATCCATGACAGGAAATAGTATGACTTGTAGCTGGTGATCTGATCGGACTAGCAAGATAAATTTTCGCTAGCCCAGGGTTCGGCCCCCAAGGTTCTTCAGCTCATATACCGAAAGAGGATGTGTTCTTCAGGCTGGTCGAGTAAGGGTCTGCTAACAAGACCAAACTATCGAAAGCCCTGTTCGATACGCTTAACCATCACCTATATCATGTGATATGTTCTCCAATAGTAGTGACTATCAAATTCTTATTATCTCTTCTGGCTATTGAAATTAGAACCTGAATATGCAATATGTGAACAGCGGCGTTTATTGATTGAGCCTCTGGAGGTCAACCAGGAAGGTTATATAAACCCACAATAACTTGTTCAAGTCACTTGCCTAACCATACTTTATTTTCCCAATCATTTGCCTGTATACAGTACATCCAATAAGCTGTGCCCAACATGCAGTGGATATCTTTCGTTTCATTCCTTATCCTCTGGATCTCAGTGACCAATGCAATGCCTGATAAGCTCTGTATGGATAACATGGAAGCAATCGGCCAGGTGGCGAAGAGCCAACTGGGTCCCATCATGGAGTCAGAGGTCTGCAGTAAGGGTATAAAGCCCAGTAAAGCAGACTGGAAATGGCTGGAGCCGAAGATGCAGTCAATCATGAACAATATCAAAAAATGTTCCCAGAAACCTGATTTACCAAATTACAAACCAAAAGTCGAGAAGCTTGGAGATGCGATTGTGGCGAAATGCACAAAGCCCTCCCACAATTACTGCAACAAAGAAGACCTTCAGGAGATCAAAGGATGCGCAGTTTCAGAAGCTCTGGGATGGGGTATGATGAACATGGATATGCTGAAATACACCGACAGAAAAAACTGTGAAAAGCTCGTCCCCTGCTTGAAGAATCCAAAGACCTGGAGTTATGAAAAAAGGTTAATAAAGGAATATGCCAAGTATAAAAGGTTAGTTGTTGGAAAGGTCTCCATATGACTTCTTTATTAACATAATACCACAGTGGACATGCCTGAAATGTTACAGTGTAGGACCTCAACACTGTCCTATTTTGCCTGACGAGCGACTACGGGTTTCAAGTGCCTATTTGATGGGCTGTCGAAGCAGTATAAACATAATCCAATCGATGGAATGGATGGCAGGGATTCTTTTGTGTGTGGGTTTGAGTATTCACCTTACATGAAAAGATAGGGTATGGAAGTACTGTAGGTACTTGAATAGATGCAGTCCAAAATTGATGAAGCCATTCTATAACATGCGACCGCTTCAGTACAAAACCATCCTAATAGCTTGAACATTCCCAAATCCCCTTCCCCTGACACCCGATACTCGGTCTTTGGCCGCTAAAGTAATGGAGTATCTGTTTCCTCAGATCAGGCTATTTCTAGTTCCAATGCTACAATACTTTGCTCTATTTCTTCGGCTTGCTCTAACAGTCGCCGTGTTACAGATTGTTTATAGAAGCAGTATATCATCTTCATTTTTATCAACCGGACCTTTATTGCCATGGTTAAGTCTACAATAATTATTTACTAATTGGGGCGACGTTGTTTGCATATTCTAATAAAGGTTTCAAAACATTAACAGTATGCCACGCACCAGTCGCATCACCATCTCACTCCGCTCTAGCGAGGAAATCCAGCAAATATATTTCTTAGTAAAAGTATGATACTAAGCGTGTAGACAGCCTAGGGGAGCAGTGATTCAAGATTCCTTAACCACTCCCGCGTATACTACAGGAAGGATGGGACCAAGGGAGATTCCTGTATTCTCTAACGGCCTCTTTGCAAGTAATGGTGGATTATTGGCAAGCTTTTGGAGCAAGGTTCATTCAGTAGAAATCCAGAGGTGAGCAGTATGATCAATTGCTGTCCGAAGCACTTCAACAACCTTCCATGTCTCATCTACTAGGGCTGACATTTTATTGGATCTCTACTGAGAGACGTCTCCGGTGGCATCTTGCAGAATTATAGTTTAGTCTATTTATATAGAACGTGCAGTACATACTTCCGGCATTGGTCCTATGACTGGCCCGGCTTTTGGTAAAAACTGCTTATTTCCGCGTCTAATTCGATTCTCTGGCAGCTAGAGAAGACGTGGATGAACTTTGACCCTGCTTTTACGGCAGCTTTAGGTCCAACCGCTTTATCCTTCGATATACATCTACCGTCATTGCATATTCAGGCTTTGATCTCGTGTGCAGTGCTCATGTATTATGCAGGTGAGTATACCTCATGTCACTTTAGGCCGGGCTACGGGAACACATGATCTTCTACTCCCATGGGTCCGCGGCTGTCTTCTGATGATATTTGCTCCGGGCACGAATGCGAGGTCCATACCGATAGAACATCCACGGTAGCGGCGTCATTGCCAGGGAGACAAAACCCAGGATACTGGTGGCCCATGAGACGCCCAGACCCTTGTACATGTCTTGGGCGAAGAGCGGGAACACGGCACCAAAGATGGATCGCAAGACACCATTAGCAGCCAGGGCACTGGCGCCGTAGGGTCCATAACAGTCTGTCAGGTAAGCCATAATACCCAAGAAAAGAGGGATGATTGAGAACCCGAATGGGACTCCGGCGATGATGCCGCAGATCCAGTGGGTGGGGGGTTTGGCGGACCAGCCGAACCAGAACAGACTGATGGGGATGAGCCAGGCGAGCACGATCAGATGGGGCAGGCGAGCCTCTGGCTTAGGTCCGAGGCGAAGTACAAAGTGGCGGTGGATTACATTGATGTAAGGAGAACCTAAGGTCGCTAAGGTCATGCCGACACCGATCCCGAGAAATGAGAGGCCGGCCATTCCGGGACTCCAGTTCCGCGTCTCCTTGTAGACGATTGGATAGGCGGTAAAGTCCAGATAGAGGATACCGTAGATGAAGGCCATGTATAGAGAAAGCAGGAAGAGAATGGGCTCCGTACAGAGCATGAGCCATGGACGAGTCAGACTGCTGCACAGCTGCTGGTAGACCTGGGGCTGTCCGATCTCATTCCCATGGCCCAGACGCCGGGATTTGTCGTACAGCAGCTTATTAGGATACGTCTCGGGTAGGAAGAACAAGACAGCAGCGTAGACTACGCCGCTGAGGATAAGCACCACCCAGAAGTTCCAGCGCCAGGGTGCATACTGCGATATGAACCCACCCACCACTGGGGCAAAAACAGGGCCTAGGAAGCTAGCCGCAGAGAAGCAGGCCATGGGTACAGATCGGTTGCTCTGTGGCCAGAGGTCAGTGATGGAACCCCCCGAGTTGCTGACGGTGGGGGAGCCGAAGAAGCCTGCGAAAAAGCGGAAGACGATAAGTGAGGTGATGTTGGGAGCTAATGCACAGCCTATCTGAAAGGCTACAAACAGGCCCATTGTCAAGCGAAAGATTTGAGCCCGGCCCCTGGGAAGGTGACGGGTTAGCACTGTTGGGGAGGTCCTACGGTGTTGGGGGAGGAAAAAGCCAGGCCTACCAGATCTCAGAGAGCGGCGCAAACAATAGAGATCCTGACCCGAAGCCTAGGAGGAAGGTCGTCACTCCAAGGGTCGCCACAGTCTGTGAACATCCCAAGTCTTTCATAATATCCGGGAGGGCAGCAGTGTAGATACTAGAGCAGCAGGCCACGGTCGCCGTCATCATCACCACAATGCTAGTGCAGACCCCTACTCGTCATCATTCGTTAGCTGCCCTATCAGTCGCTCACTATAAGGACCATAGGGACGCGCAGTTGTCTTACACTTCTTAGTTGTGGGCCATGTTTTCGGGTTTTCTTTCACATCCAACACAATGTGGTCTGCCGTGGCAAGCACTGCATCGGCAGATGCTGGCTTTGATTGCTTTTCGACTGGATTCATGTCTCCTGTATTCCCCGTTTGCCTCGACAACAGCACAATGAGATGTGAAATCTAGTATAGGCCTTCAATATAAATACCTACCCATGATTATCTCAGGGCTGCCACCGGGGACCAATAAAAATGCTGTTGGTGACAAACGTTGAGTACATGGGTTGAGATGATTATTAATCGATGGGGATGGGACAACTTAGGGCTCTTCTGAATGCGTTTGAAACTGTAACGATAGTCATGAGAAAAATATTCATTGGTTGGCCCATTACTCATGCAGCCCACTCCCTCCAGTTATGCGTATTGCGTGAGATCCCCATTAGTCTCAAGGCCACCATCAATATGTTCCTTTCGTGGGAGCAAGGTATTTGGTGGGGACCGGGAGGATCCTGGCCCCCAAATGCTAGCACTGTCTACCCCGTACGGAGTAGTATGTTTCTCATTCTGAGCCAAAAGGCTGGAGAAGTGGGTACCGGGACTCATTAAGCTGACAAATATCAATCGTGATATCACGACATCATTCGTTTTAACCACGATGCAACATCCGCATAGTCCATTGAAGGCTAGTGCAGCTGGCTGGATTGAGTCCCCTGTTTATTTTCCATTGCCTGCTGACGCGTCGCTGATCCATTCGTGCATTTGTTGATTCCAATTCGTATACGGGGTATATTCGGAAGAATAGTATTTCTTGCAATGGATTATACCATATGCTCGCGCGATGGGGGGCTAAAGCGGACACCCCTGCAGATCCCCCGCAGGGCTTCGCATGTAATTTGTAAGCAAGGGACACGCATGCCAAACAACGAAGAATATAGATCTTTAAAGTTAGAAAAATTGGGGACTGGCTACTAAGTGGCTAGATCTATATTATTCGCGACCCAATCCCCCAGATTCCAGTATGTTTTTGAGGATCCTTCGACGTCACAAGCTAGTATTTAGATTATACAAAGCTAGAGAAGAGGAAGTGTATAGGCTGCATGTGGCTTTCTGCGAGGCGCGATCACCATCGGGGGTACATGGTCTCATGGCGTCTAGCTTCCTACTCAGCTTGGTAGATACAAAGAATACGGATGTATACTGAGTGAAGTCGAAGCATTGGGTCTAGTCCTCGTATGAAGGCCGATCTGTTTTAATCTGATAAAGATCTCTTTGTAACTCTTATAGCAAATATCACTTGTGTATATTCGTAGATTCAATGTTCAGTTAATTGCAAGAGCTCAAGCTGGTAGCGCTAAGTAAAAGTGAATACCTGTGCAGCAGCTAGTTCTTTTTAGATCAATCAATGAATAGTATAACTGTAGGAATATAGAATGCCAATCAACTATACCCACAAGAGCCCACATCTAGTATCAAAAAGTCAACTGCAGGTGTTGTTCTGCAATTTCTAGCTTATTGAGCACAACAAGCAGGATAACTAGAATGCTCTTCGACTAGCAGTTTACTGATTTACAATAGTGTTAAGATCGACTGCTTAGTGGTGAATGGGCATTCAGGTTATACTCACGTCTCACTTGTGAGTTCTGCCGTAGAGAGCGGGTGATTGCCACGACGTGTAGTAGATTACAGATCGCTAGTAAGTTTCACATCTCTAGCACTGTACAATTATACTATGCCCCATGTTAACCCTTCTGAGGCAACTGACACAGTACCATGGGGCATTGCGGTTATCAACCAGATATGCACAGTTGACATTCCTTCTACATTCAACACAACTGTTAGAAACGCCCTATATTCTCACAAATATCTTCCTGTCAACCATCAGCCGAACAAACAAAAGGAAACCCGCGCTCGCCAGTGTCAGTGATCCAGCATAGAAGATTGCAGGCCGAAAGCCGCAAGGCCGGCGTCTGTGCCGCTGTAAGCGTCGAGAAGATATCCACCGATATGATCCCCCTAGTATAACATTAGTATCCATTCAACAACGGAAATAGGAAGTGGCTGCTCCATCAGAATCCAGGTTTGCTGACCTCTCCTGCTTTGTTTCTTCTGAGTTTATCTTAAAGACTAATGTTGTTACTAGAGGGAAAGGTTGGGGATTGCCTTCACATCACCCACTATGTAGAACTTGCTAGATTCATACTTCAACTAACAGCACTGCCCGACCATGATATCACGGAAATAGTACAACTATGCAATATCCGGATTTACTGTGAAAGCCGGTCGAGTCCATGGCCAGTTAATTTGCGGAAGGCGAATTTCGACTTACTTAAGTATATGTATGTATCCAAACCCATTCGTACTGTATATCAGTCAAGAGGGTGATTAACTAGCAGGGCTTGGAGCGGGCACGGGAAGCGGGGCGGGGCATTGGGATGTGGGAAATCTGTGGGGGTTCTGAAGCTAAGCATATCTTGACTCTTGAGCCATTTTCTTTATATAATATAGAAACCAGTTTCAGAGAAATACATGTGTTTCAAGAAAAGCGAAGCATCACTGGCACCAGCATCAGTCCAGTTGTATACACCGGAGTTAAACCCAAAGATCGAACTCTTGATCCAATATCCGGCGCCTCGTAAGAACTGATAATGAGTGAATACTACGACGTCTTCCTTATCAGGTCCACCCTCGCCATGCAAGATCCTGATCTCCCTGGACCAAGGTTTCATACCGCCCTTTTCGTCAAGACAGGGCCGAACGGTAACGGTACTATTCACGAAGTCACCGGCGATATCACCTCATCGGACGGGATGCACTATACTCGAACTCTTAGTGAGGCTCCGGAGCTTTCCCCGGAGTTCCATACAAGTCAGAAGCTGGGCGTTACGCAAGCCTGCAAGCATCCCGGCGAATGGCGGCGGGTTTTAAACAGTTTACCGACGCCACCCCAGCAGAAAGCATTTAACGTGAAGACAATGAAGACGGAACCATTTAAGACGAGAGATCCGTTGGTTTTCTACGAGCCTGGGGAGCCCAGGCGGCCTTTGATGAAGTGTACTGAGTGGACGATGAAGAGAGCAATTCCTGCTCTTAAAGCCAGTGGGCTTATCATTGAGGGGTAGTGTGTCTCACAGAATAAGCTTGGAGCCCTGTTGGGCCATAGGCAAGCTTGTGTCTCTTGCAATGGTGCTGTATTTTTATAGTCAGCTACAAGGTCTCTGCTTCTTCTTTGGTGCCATTCTAACTCAATTCTGGGGTTTCTATTGATTTATCTCTGACATATCATGTCGAATGTGATATCGTACGATTTATTTCTGAATAACTAAAGAAAGTAGATGAAGTGTACCACTTTGGTCTATCCCGGAGCTAAAAGGACTATGGTAAAGACGCCATATACAGTTCATTCATGCCAACCATCCCCAGCACCTAGCATCCAGTTCACAGCAACGAGCTCCAGTCCATGCTGCTGCACCCACTCAGCAGCTTTAAACGACCTTCGAGCCGTAAACTCTTCACCCCCGACATCTTCCTTTGAGAGTGATAGGCCGTGTGGCTCGCGGAACAGCAGAAATAGGTACCGATGTGGTCGCGAGCTACCGTACCATTATCTGGTAAGCACATCCACAAGTCATTAGTAAAAGTTGGGATTCGTACTCATCTTTAGGTCCAGGACCTAGATACTCTGTTAATGTCTGAACAGTTTCAGGTGCCCCTGACGGTTGTAGTCCGGAAACGACCCAATGTCGCCAGTATGCAAATTTGGGGTCATCTGGGGTCGGTGCATCTGGGTCGATCAAGAGCAAGGTATATGTCTGTGGAGATTCAAGGTCCCTCTTTTGTACATTAATTAGCCTTAAGCCCCGAGCGGGGAAATCCCGCATCAATGATATACGATTACAAACCTCGGCCGCAAATGATATCTTCGGAGCTGATTTGCAATCACTGACTCTGAACAGATTTCCTAGAGAAACTGATTTCTCGCCAAATGTGACCTGAAGTTCTGTTGTCGGGGTAAAGTCCTCTGGGATGAGGGGTGCGGAGCTAGGAAACAGCCCTGCTTGGCGCAGGGAGGGGATCAAGTTCATCACTTGAGTTTCGGACATTTCGTTGGTTTTTTAGGTTGATGGTAGAATACGACAAGGTGTGTGGAAGGGGGAGTATAATAATATAAATATGTGCATTTGCTTGACCTCGCAGGTGGTCGGGATACAGACTCGGATTGTCAGTGGTGGAAGAAAACAAGTGATTCCGTCTTGGGTCGTGTCTTAAGCTATTGGTGGAAATTGCATAGATCAGTGGTCCCTGTTGATTAACTTTGTTAACATTGATAGTTGCAGTTAAAGATATTCTAGAGCATAGACTGGGGCTTCATCCGAGTTTCTCTTTAGCGCCAAGTGACTTAGTACATGATTCTATGTATCATTGATCATCAACCGCTGTCATGCTTTCTTCTCGCCTTTATTGTCCCCCTTCATTCCCATCTCCGAAAATGCCTGACTAAGGGTTTCCATCGTCCCACGCCTCCTAAGTCCCTGCGGGTCTTTTATCTTCATGATTGAGATATTCGCCTTCTTGAAGCTGTCCCAGTCTAATGAAAAGGCGCGAAGGAAAATTGGGACCAAGCCATGAGAGGCGCACAACTCATCCTACTGACCGCGTTCTTCCTTCTTCTTCATTAGGTCATCTAGGTGGCCTTTGGGAGTGCTCGGTTGCAGGGGTAGTTTGAGGATCTTGACAACAAGGGTCTCTGAAAAATAGGGCTCTCCAAGAAGATATCAATGATGAGTTGATAGTAGCCGAGCTCGCGATCCAGACTTCGCTCCAAAGAACTTCAAATCGTGTATGGAAACTTTTGCATTATTATTGAAGTAACCGAATCCGCTGAGCAGACTGTTCAATGCATCGGTACGACCGACGGAAGTCTCCGAATAGGTACCCCAGATTTGCAGAAATTTCCCTTTATGAGGACCGTGCAGAAGACGTCTGGTCCAGACATCCTTAGTCAATCTTACATCCGACGGTCGGCCTTTCAGCGTGATACTGGTGACAACGATATCCTGTAGAGAGGCTACCTTTCCTGCGCCGGCCATAATCCAACCTACAGTAGAATAATATCAGTAATAAGCTCCCTTTTTCTCCTAGACTCTCTCACTCGTGTTTATCTTTATCGGAAGGACCAAAGACTTACCCAGAAGGTAAGATACTGAAAATGTCTCATACCCCCCATTCCCTATGTCGAGAACCACCCTTTCGGCCTCAGGGAAGTCCATTATTACCGATAATGTTTCGGCATCAAGATTCGAAGGGACTCTGGGGCGCTTGGGCAATGACTTGAGTTTGGTGACGGATCGGAGGCTAGCCGTATGATGATAGTAACAGCATGATCTTGCTCACAATAAATACGGTAGGTCAGATAAATGCTGCGATCTGTCAATAATCGGACCGCAGCTTTCATTGATTCGGAGTCCAGAAAAAAGAATAATCATCTGGGTGAACAAAGAGAAGATGAAGAAGAGGAAAAGTGAATGGGGACAAGGAGTTCGAGATTGATATTGGTCAAGGAAGAAAGGTAAAAGAAAAGGAAAGACCAACAGGAAGGTAGGAAAAGGAAGGAAGTTGGAACACGCAGAAGCCCGGAAGAGCAGGTAGAGAGAATCCTTCACTCTTGGGTCGAGTGAATTACATAGATTAGGCGTAACACATATGTAATACTGGAACAGTATTCAACTTTTTCCAGCTGTTAGAGTTCGAGAATATAACTGAATGTTTCTCTCATCATCTCTTTTTTCATGAGAGAGAGGATAATAGCCTGCCTATAGTAGCTGATGGACAATCACACACTACAGTGTCGAAATCTCGTAGCAATAGGTCACCGGCGTTTCCTAGTTTTAGGGGCGAATGACTTCTTCTTTAACCCACCCCAACTTTGTTCTCCTAGGTGGAGTCCCTTTTCCTCAACTAGATTTGCGAATTGCTTGTCCTTTTCCAGCTGCTTCAAGTCGATACCCAGTGCCTGTGCCATTATAGGCGCAAGATCGTGGGCGGCACAAATGCGGAAGTCGCCGCTCTCGAAACGTTTCTTGTTACGTCGATCGAGACGCTTATTCAGTTCCTCTTCAACAACTTGTGAGAACTCCTTGCCGTAAATAATGGTCATCTTGATCGTCTCTGCTTCTTTTGGAGTAAAATAGGGCTCGCCGATGAAGGATGGGTCAATGACCTTCTCGAGCCGTTTATTGGAAGCGGGCTTGTCAAAACTCTTGAGATCAGCGATTAACACATGTATTCGATACCAGATATTTGGAAAGGTTGAGGAGTCTTTGAGGTTTTCGACTGTGGGACTTGGTACGTCGGCGGTATCCTCAGAATTTATGTTATCCGGTGTGGATGATGATGGAGCCATACTGAGAAAGAAGGGAAAGGAGAAACGGGGCTTTTGAGCTTTTCATTTCTCGTCAGACTTGTAGGAGCTTTTCGAAAAAAAAAAAAATATGGTTAATGAGGAGTTCCTGCAACAAGGAGGTACCAGACATCTATGGTTGCTTCCTAGCCCATTGCTTCATTCGGTTGTCATTAAGACGTGGGCGGTCATCTTACTTGGCGGTACAATACCATCGCTATTACAGGCAGAATATGTCTTTGTTTGTAATGTTTAAGCTCATTTAAACTCTGCTCCTCTTACTACGCCAGCGAGAGCGGGATGGACATGTGCTGGGAACTATAACGTTCATTGCTTTGCTTTCGGGGGATCAAATGCCGAAACCAGAGTTAACAATAGCAGAGAGATTGTAATGTAGGATGACTCAGTTTGCCTGTCAGCTGCACATTAAGACGATTTCTTGGTTTGGCGGAAGCTCGAACATGAGCACTGATGGAGAGCAAGGTAGATGAACCAGTATAGTTAGGGTTTACCATGGGTAATTTATGCATGTGCATAGCTTATGTAAGTAGAACTACACTATGCAGCGATATCAATATCGATATCAAGATCTATCGTCATCTTTGATTAAATATCTGGTCTACACTACCTTAACGTCCATAACGCCATTGAGAACCTGCGAAACCACTACTTCTCTTAAAATCGTTTCTACTCACCTACTACAAACCCACAACAGAACTACAACCCCCGCCGCCTCTGTTAAAGCCCAACTAAACGCACATCATCAAATCACAACTACCCACATACTAAAAGGAAAGCAAGAGAGCCAAAAACGCAAAAATGCCAACAAAGACACCCACTCAATCCGACTTCCCACCGCACCTAACCGTCTCGATCACCTCCCCAAACACCACCACAACAACCACACGCCCACCGCCCAACATCCTCCTCCTCCTACACGGCATCGGCGACACCAGTGCCACATTCAGTACCTTCGGCCGCGCCTCAACCTCCCCGAAACAACCGTGCTCACCCTCCAAGCACCAACACGCCTCCCCTTCGACCTGCCCGGATTCCACTGGGGTGACGATATCTCGTTCGATTCCCGCACGGCGCGCTGGACATGGACGCCGGGTTCGCGCGCGCAACGCGCACGATAGTCGACGAGGTTATTCGCGGCGTCCTCGTTCAGAAATGCGGGTATAAATTGCGGGAGATTATGATTCTTGGTTTCGGGCAGGGAGGTATGGTGGGGCTTGTTTGTGCAAGGGAATTGGGGGTACAGCCAAGGGTTCAGGATGTGGGTGATTCTGGGGCGAATGATGGTGGTGGGATTGGGGGCGACATTGCGTTGTCGGGAGTTATCTCCATTGGAGCGCCGTATCCGATTTCGGGGAGTGTGGTTGGTGAGAAGAATCGGACGCCGGTGTTGCTTGTTGCTGGACGGGATTCGGAGGTTGTGAGTGATGGGGCGGTTAGCAGGACGAAGGGAGTTTTTGACTTCGTGGAGGTCACGAGGTATGCTAGGAGGGGAGATGGGATGCCCAAGTCTAGGGAGGAGATGCTGCCTGTTATGAGGTTTTTGGCGCGCAGGTTGAGGAGTTGGCAAGGGGTTCCGGAGGGGAGTGTGGAGATTTCTTAGGGTTGTTTTGGGAGTTGGTAGAGTGAATCTTATGCATGGTGTGTAGTGATGATGGGTGTAGAGTGGGTAAGACGATTTTGCGACGCTTTGGTGATCTACTGGAATCTGGATTGCTAGAGGCAACATGAGGCGATGGTAAGTATGGTACATTGCTCTACACGGGTCTATGCGATGAAACTAGTCCACCTGCTCCAGGGCTTTTCTTGCCCGATCGATTGTCTTCCTGGCCTCAGTTTCGCCGACGTCCTCGTTTTGTGGTCCACCTTCTTGCACGACGGTGTGCAGGTGCTCCTCCGTCTTAATCAATGCTGTCCGGCCCTCCTCCCGGACTTCGTCTTCAAAGAAAGCGCGGGCAGATTCCCACTGCTTTTGTTGCCGTCGTAGGGCGTAGATCAATCCAACTGCGACAATTGTGCCGGTCTCGTACACCGACGCTGTCGGGACGGAAACATATGTCAGTGCCGACAGAGCGGATGTCAAGGTAGTGGTTGACATGCTGAAAAGGACTAGCCTTTGCGCCATTGCCTGCAGGGAGGGTACTGTCGTCTCGAGTAGCCGGTTGCGACTTGTGGTTATCTGAGTCGGCCACAGTTCATCGGATTCGGGTTTATCACTCGTGGAGTCGTTAGAAGGCTGTTGTGCTGACCGAGAGGCGTCCTTTAGCTGCATCCCAAGACCGGCCTGGTGGAATCTTCCCGCAGTCCAGATCACCTCTTTCTCTGCACGCGGCAAATAGCTCTTTTCCAGAATCTCCGACGTGATCATGCCTACGTCGTCCACATGCCAGAAGAGCTTCCACCAGGCAAGGCCCTTCCATTTCTTTGTCGCAAACCCTTCCTCGAGTGAGCCACGCAATTCTGTATGCCCCCTCTCGGCCCACTCAGACACTGAACGGTCTAGGTTCTCTCGGACCTCATCTGAAAGTATAACTGCTTTTTGATCCTGTAATAACTTGTTCTCATCGGCAACAACTCCAGTCTCTGCGGCGTCAATCAGGGATGTGATTAGAGACTTGAGGGAGGGATCGAGAGCCCCTTCCGCCCGCAACGACGACAGCCAATCTTGAACAGCCTGCACACCGCTTCCATTCCAACCACGTTCATAAAGAGAGGCATTCTGCACGGATTCGCGGAACTTCTCGAGGGCTTCGTCTGCTCGATCGATGTCCACGAACGCAATTCGGTCGTTGCTTTTCTGTGGGGCGGTAACTGCCAAATCGATGGCCCCATAAACTGAGCTTGTCTCTTTCTTCAGGTCCGCGCGAGAGACCAAGCCATTGTACGCAACCAAACCGTCTACCCCGCGGCCGCACACAACCGTTCTGTGGACTGGGTATCGTACGGCATTATGGCGGCCGGAATGTGAAGTTGGGATCGTCACTGTAGGGACGAGAAATGTATCTGCCGTGAAATGTGCATCTGATAACTCTGTCTCAGCACCCAAGGTAGACACTAGGATCTCGAGATTGCCTTTCTTAAGGATGGGGGAGGGCACGGAGATAGTAGGGAGAAGATTGTTCGGAATGGACTCTGATACTTCGCCGTATCTGTCGAGCGTCAGTAAAGCCTCCTATTCATGTCCCTTTTGCTGCAATCTAAGCATACCGAATGAGCAAGCCCTGTGTAGGATCAGAATCGTAGGTATCCAGTGCATCCTCCCAGCTCTCTCTTGTATTTAATGGATCGGCGAGTAACAACCGAACAAGCTTGCGCGCGGCAGTCGCATCATTAAGACCGAGAACTATTTAAATATGAACAAATATATCTGAGAGTACTGTTGTGAGGAAGAAACCCACCAGCAATACGGATTATGGGTGTTTCGCTCTCCAATCCGCGCAAAGCAAGCTGCAATCTGCTGATATTCACCTGCTCTGTAGCTACACCCTGGATCTTATTTAGGGCATCATACAGCTCTCTCAACCGCGGTGGCACATGTCGGGCGTGGATCACAGACGATGTAGTGATAGGACGAGAGGAGGAAAAAGAGAGACGATTAGCTTCTAGCCGGGAAGAAACGATGCCGTTCCGACGCGTGGACAGGGTCCGTCTCCGTGTTGCGCAGGATGGGCAGTAATAAGCTGCGGTTTTGTCCCCAGCACGCGGCCAGCTCTTAGAGAGCGAGCCGCGCAGTTTGAGAGGCATTGATGGGTGGGGAGAGGGTATCTGGCGGGAAAGGTGGACGGTATCAGTGATATATGGATTTGGAAGGGCGGATAATTGAAGTTGGTGTTGTGTCTTGGCGGCCGCGGAGGCCCGTGACTGCCGATTCCTAGCATTACGGCGAAATAATCCTTGCTACACTATAATGCTCAATATGGAAGAATTTCGTAACTAGACTAAGAGAAAAAAAAAAAAACTGCCTACAAATACCGCACAGTAATAAACAAGATAGGGGTGTGTCATGGTGTATCGATTCATCAACTCATGGAGCCAAGACGTCACGGACGCCTCGATAACTACAACAATAGTCTCTGTCGCAGTTCCAATACTCAATGCAATAACAGTCTGTCTCCTTGTGACAGACAGAACATAAGATTATGTAGCTGGGCCGTTCGTCAGAGGAAAAGCTCCTCGTTATATCGTCCGACTCAAAGGCGCTTTATACAGGTACGGATCAATATTTGCACACCGAGAAAGACGGGTTGAGCAGGCACAAAATCAAAGTGGAATGCTTAATAATAGTATCCTTTGCTCATGCTTCTCGACTCTCTCGAGCGGCATCTCGCTGCCGCCGGCTTCTGCCCGCGCCCGCAGACCTGTGAGAGGTTAGAGTACGCTCTTTCAAATTGTTTCTTTCACCATGCAGACTTACATGCTAATCCGCCGGGCCACGGTAGCCAATCCAGCGTCGTTATCTGCCTCACGTTGAGCACGCTCCAAGGCAGCCTGCCTTTCCTCCTCACTCCGCTTGAAGACCTCTTCACTACTCGGCGGAAGACGCTCGTTTTGAATGTCAACCTTCCGGGCATCCTCAAAGTTCGTAATGGCCTGTTTGATTCCCTCCGCTCCAAGCATCAAAGTACCGGCGGGAAGGCGACCACCGGCTGCTGTCTTAAGCTCCGTGACCCTTTCGGACTCCTCACGCAACACTTGGAAGACTCGTGACAGACGACCGATGGCAAGAATTTTGTTCTTAATTGCACGTCGCTTGAATTCGCTGGATTCAACGTCCATAGGAACAGGGGGCGAGGGCGGGCCCGTAGGTGAAACGGTCGTAGGGGTGTCATCTTCCAATTCCTCCTTGGAGCAGGTGTTAAGGATAGCAATCAGCATGTCCGTAATCTTCTCACCGACGAAGGGAAGAGACCAGGTGAACACATCCATGAAGTTTGGCAGCCAGTACGGGTGTGGTGTGCAGTTGAATTGACGGATATTCATCACGTTGTTCTCGTACTTCAGGACGGCAGCTTTGTTATTGTACACATCCAGATAGTTGGGCGCACTGAATATGGTCATCACGCTAGGGAAACCGGTGGTTCTTGTTTTCCGATACATGCGGTATCCGGCATCCTGAGCCTCATGGGCACGAATAATGGAGAGCAGGTTGTTCTTTTCCAGGAAAGCGCAGGCGGCAGGGTACGAGAAGAAGTAGGAGCATCCTCGAACACTGTTGTGGACAAAATAGTCTCCAGTCTTCTCCTGTCCAAACTCTTCCAGGGGATCAGCCCAAAGAATGTCGCACATCAGGCCATGAGTTGGGGGCTCCCTGAAACGATCAATCTGCAGGCTGTATCAGTACCTAGCAGTACTACTATCACGGAATTTGCTTCACATACCGACTTGATATCCTCGAGTGTGTGTAATTCGGGGCTTAAGCCACCGTGGATACACAGGAATTGCTTGTTCATGACCGCCGCCAGCGGCAAAGAGCAAAAGGATTCAATGCAAGCCTCATAGATGCGCTCGCTATATTTGTGCTTACACTCCAGTTTAAAGGTGAAGTAATCCGTCAAATGCCTGCACTCGTGGTTACCTCGCAGCAGCCAGAGCGTATTCGGGTACCAGATCTTCAAAGCCCAGAGGTAGAGAACACACTGCACAAGGTCAGACCATTTCCGCTACATAACTCAGCCACGGCGAGACAGCCGAAGGAACTCACTTCAATGCTAAAATAACCTCTGTCAACATAGTCGCCTAGGAATAAATATCTCGTCTCAGAGGGATCGCCGCCGACTTCGAAAAGTTTCATCAAATCGTAATATTGTCCGTGAACGTCGCCACACACTGTAATGGGGGCATCCATCTCGAGCAAATTAGGCTCTGCCTTCAACAACTGCGTACCCGCTTGTATAATCCATAGCGCCTGGTCTTCAGTAAGACGACCTTCACGATAAAAGTGCTGTTTCAGAAACTGGAGGTTTGGCTTGGAGGGGTCCTCAGGGGACCAGAACTGTTCGTCCGTCGGCGTCTGCAACGCCGGCGCTTGTACCTCTGCAGGATCACACAATTGTCAGGATGAAAATTACAGAAACAGGAGGCAAGGGATGCGGCATATCCTACCTTTGACAACCCGCTCCATGGTGGACACCTGGGTGCCATCTTCCATGGTATGTAACGTGAAGTCAATCTCCGGGACTGGCTTCTTCTCCGTCACCGCTCGCGCTATTGTGCGGTCCATCTTGAGCCAAATTCACTAGAAGGCTCACAACTAGGATCTTGAAAATCGCAAGAATCCAAGGCCGCAGTAAATAGAGCGGGAGCGAAGAAAAGGGGATGGGAGAGGGGGTGGAAGCTTGACAGCGCGGAGAACCGATGTTTGGTGGGGTTAGAGCGCGGCGGGATCTCACACGCGAGGCGAACGCCCGAGTTGAGGCTGAGATATGGTTGACCCTAAGGTTAGGAGTGTGGCACGTTTAGAGGGGAAGAAAAAAGTTTTTGCAAATAAGAAGGGTTCCTTTAATCCAGCAGGGTAAAAAAAAGAAAGCCAATGAAAGGACACCTAGCTAAGTGGAGTGAGTAAAGGGGGTTTAAAAAAAGTAGACGTGGGTCAGTGTTAGAATAATTAAGAACAAGAAACAAGGAAACAGTCGAGGCCGGATCTGAGGACTCTGAGATGCTGGGCAGGGGCTGAATGGTAGTGAAAGGTACAGTCCGTACGGAGCAGTGGTAACCGATAATGCCCGGTTACTAGTAGTAGAGATGCTCTTTCAAACTCCAATGATATAACATGCTAAACTAAATATAGATAGCGCATAAATTGACATACAGTTCTAGGTCATAATATAACTCATATCTGACATTTTGAGATACTAGCGTGTACCATATAAGAGTCTAGATCTACTAGATACCTGGAGGACTAGAAATTCCACCATAGACTTGTAAAGGTAACAGTTAGTATCAAGAATTCTCCATATCCCACAACTAGGTATATTACTATGCCTCCCTTATTGGTCTACAGTCTACCTGTCAATGATTCGGGTGACACATTGGATTCACTTCGGTAGATCTCATTCACACATACAGAGGGATGGGGGTACTTGTTCATCGCCTGCTGTGTTATTTGCGTTGCAGACCATGGTGGATCCCTCGAACCCAACGTTGCTGGAGAGAGGTAGAAAAGCTCATCATTTCAAATCAGATACAGAGATAATATATGACTAGTTTGCGTTGCTAAAAAGGACAAAGTATGTCTTGAAACAAATAGCAAAATAAACGAGTAATCGCTCTGTAAGCATCACAAGAGAAACCCAGATTACTCAAGATACTGTACTTACCCCTTCAGCATTAGTAGTTATATCTTTCAAGTTCGAAAACAGAACTTCAGATGCAGTATCACCAGATCAAGGTCAACATCTTTCAGCGCCAGCAGTATGAAAGCAACCCAAGGCAACCAGGGCAAGATGTCCAACAAAACTAACCCCAGTGGGAAAATGAGGGTGGGGGTCGAGATCAGCCAAATCACATTGAAGTCAATCTAAAATTTGGAGATCCACGGATGGCATAAATTATGACGGGTAATTTATCAACACTGTACTCCGTATTTGCCGTACTAAAAGGTACCGATGGCGTCACGGGGGTTTCCCCTCAATGAATCCGGAGTATAACCTCTGATTATCTTGAACAACAACCACCCCGTGTTCACCCTCAGATCGTTGTCTAACTATCTTCCTTCGAATAATTTCTCCCGAATCGCAATTCTCCCAACTACCAATAATGTATGAATCCTACCGTAAGTCCCCTCTGACCCCCTTCTCGCAGCTTATCCTGACCATCTATCTGTCCATTTGTCCAGGCCCACATCCACTCCTGGCACAAGTTCCCCTGACCGTCTCTCCTTTCATCAACCTCCCTTCCTCAGTCACCCTTCCTTACACCTACAAATCACTTCCCTCCACACTTCCGGCATCCGTAACAGTCGACCCTAGCAATCCTGAGACTAAACCCCGCTATGTCGTCTCCGCGAGCGGTGAGCACGCTGCATCCCCCGAGGAAATCCTAGCATCGTGCAAGTCCCTTGAAGAACTTCTCAACAAGAACCGCACGGATGCGGAGAAGGCCATACAAAACTGGGAGGAGTCCATTGTGCAGCGCGACCTCGCGGAGAAGAGACGAGTTGCGCCCGGGTGGTTGGACCGGGAAGAGAAGCTTCTACAGCCGAGCAGATCTATGGCGAGCCCAAGACCCTCAGGACAACCAGAGCACAGCTTGCTGGACAGCTTATCTACGGATCCAGATGCGTCGAAGTTGCCATCGATGAAGCCGCGCGACGAGGGTGAGGAGCTGGATAGAGTGTTTGGTGGGCTGAACGTAAAATGATTGGTCTCGACCAATTGAGCGTCAGGTACGATCACCACCCTTGACGTGGCAGTGTCGTTTAGCTTCCTCTGCTGTGCTGTGCCCCATCAGGGAAAGTCACCGATTGGACCACTCCAATCGACCTTGCGGTAGAGTTTGCAGGTTTAGCTGCACCCCATATGCAGATTGCAGAGCTTTGTCAAGTGAGAACTGTGCAGCCTCAGCACAGACGAAGCTCACTATGCCGCACTATCGCGTAGAGTCGGCCCATATGCAGGGAGTATACTATGGGGTTAGAATCATGATCTTATGTGGGGAAATATTCTTTACAGTCGGGCCCAGTCTTGATCTTATCTTCAAGAGGTCTAACACCCATCGCCTGCGGGTCTTGGTGTTTACAGGCAATGAACAAAATGTATTATACTATTTAGTGCTGCAAAACCTATACTTCCATTATCCTATAAGCTAATTCTTTGTGACATATGTCTAATTAAAAGCAATTATCTTCGAGTAAAGGCGAACTCCCCCACCCAGCAACGGCAGCCCCTCCGCCTCAAAGCTCACCTCCGCCAAAGCTCCCCGGCAGAAATATTAAACCACCGCCAACTAAACCTCCCTCAACCAAACAACCCGCAACTCACCCCTCAACAGCCCTCTTTAAACAACCCCAAAAAACAAGATGGAACCGCTCCAAACACCACCAGAAACCTCGTCCTTCGTCCTCCTCGCCGACCACCAGTCGCGCACCCCATCCTCCTTCCACTCCGGCCCCGCAGTCCTCCACTACCACAGCAAGCACTGCAAGCTATCCATCCTGGAACACGAGCTCCAAGCCAACCCAGTGCTAAACTCCCTCCGCAGCGCCGATGCGACAACCACCGCCAACGGAACAGAGCCCCAAAACGGCTCCGACGCCGAAGGCAAAGAGATCGTCATCGATGGCGTAGACGTCTGGGTGACATCCGAGTAAGTCTCTCTCTCACCCTACTTCAAAACTACAAACTACCTGCAATTGATGAGACTAATGTGATCTTTGGGGGGAAATTCAGTAAATTCCTCCTCTACAACCCGACCCACCAAAAAGGCCTCTCCATTCCCTACCCTAGCATCTCCCTGCACGCAGTCCAGCGCCTCACGCTCCCAGATACCGACTCCGAGGTGCAAGGCCTGTACATGCAGATCGCGCTCCCCGAGCAACCTGGCGCCCAAGAAGATGACTTCGAAGATGTATCACTTTGACCGTTGTCCCACCCCCGGAGTCCCAGCAGCAGCAGCAGTCCGAGGAGGATAACAAGCCGGACGAGACGCCCACGCAGGCGCTGTATAATGCCGTCTCGGCGTGTTCGAATTTGCACCCGGATCCTATGAGCGACGATGAGGATGAGGAGGGTGGTGGTTCGGGGCTGTTGTCGTCCGGGCTTGTGGAGATGGGGAGTGGGGATGGGGGATTGCCGCCGCCGATGGATGGCAGTTCGGGGTGGATTACGGCAGACAATATGCATGAGTTTTTTGATGAAGAGGGGAATTGGATTGGGGGTGGGGAGGAGCCAACTTTGTCTCTTGGTCCTGGGGCCGGGACTGTGAGGGCTCGTGAGGGGGAGGATGGGGATGGGGATGAGCATATGCAGGAGGAGGAGACTAAGTGGAGGAGGACGGATTAAATGAGTGAGGTTTTGGGGGTATGTATAGATGTGGCGTAATCAATGGCTGGTTTGGTTCAGATCTAGGATTGGTGCTCTTTGGATGGGTAGGTGAGAGGATTGCATCCGTGTACTTCCTTACCAGCCTAAGGCCGGACAAATCTACTGTGATGCTTGGAAAAGCGTAAAATATAATTACATGCTATATTATTGGTATTTCGGTTTTACTAACTACGCCTATCTAACAATACAGTGGATATCAATCGTTCGCCCGTACATCAAAGACCAAAGAAATAAAGCATCTGTCCTGCCTGAACACCCAAAAAGCATAGAATACAACACGTAATAGCAGCTACCTGAGCCCGCCATACAATTATTCTTTCAAAAACCCGTCCCCATCATAGAGACTGCCTGGCGTCGCAGCGCCGATGCCCAACCCCACCGCCCTCTTAACGGGCGTCGAGAATTCCGGTCGTGCACTCTTGAGACGTTCTGGCTTCCGAGGTGACGACTCACCGTGCAGCTCTGCAGGCCCGGACTCTTCGGAGATGATGGATATTGTAGACTTTTTGGTGGGACGACGGCTCGGGGTGCGACCGTGGTCCTCCCATATCGGGACGATGCGGTTCCCAGCCCTGCTGGAACTGCGGGAAGATGGACGCTCTGACGGCTGGGTGTAATTTTGCTGTTGTGTAGGGAACGAGCTGTCCAGAGCCGGCTTTTCCTGCTCATTCATATGTTGGCTGTAGGGCCGCGGTGAGCTTGTGGTTATGCTTTTGGCGCGCTGCACAGAGTCGACTGACTTGCGGTTTGATCCATGCTTCACGCTCTGACTGCGAGGGCGGATCGGTGGGCTGGTGGCGTTGGCACCGTTTTCTAGTAGATGTGACCTGGCGCTATTTAAACGTGGTCTGGCTGGCTGGCTGCGTGGTCCTTTGACGGCGGACCGGCGAGGACTGCCTGGACTCGGGGCATTTTCGTACGCCGTTGGCGAGCCGCTGTACTTAGGAGCCATCCAAACTGGAATAGGCCTGTCAGGCGAAGGGGTATCGATCAGGCTATCTCCGAAACTAGGGGGCAGTGTAGTGATGATCTCAGGAAGGGTTTTGTCCATGCCAGTGTTCAGCGTACTCAGCACACTATCTATAGAATCATCTCGACTATGCTTCCGCTTCTTAGACGAAGCCAAGTAGGTTGAGTTTCGGTACGAAGGTGGACGACTGTCAGAGATCTCTGTGATGCGTGTTACGTCTCCTTGTGGGTCAGAGCCGATCCGGCTCATCGAGAAACCGGAGACACTTGAGCGCAAAGACGAAATATTGGAAGCCGATAGATCAGACATCTGTGATGCGTGCATGTCAAGCTCGTCTAACTCCTCCGGCTCCTCAACCATTGGAGCAAACGTAGCTCCTCCAAAAGTAATAGGTGGCTGGATTGATATCCGGACACAGTTCTGTCGTCGATGGCCTTTTCGGGGACGGTTGCCGCTTCTCATAGCGGAGGCTAACGGGGGTTTGAGATAACCATTAGAAGATGGCAAGTGCGACTCTTGGATAGGTGAAATGTTGGTCCACCCTTGAGCACTTGAGCGACTGAAGCCCGCAGACATGCCTCCATAGAATGGGTCATTTTCCCGCCGCTGGCTTCCATACACAGAGTGTCGTTGCAGTTGACTGAAATGTGGCAGCAAGGCTGGATTACAACCCGCCATGCGCTCCTGGTCAGTTTGCGGAAGAGATTCTCTTCTAGGCGGGCGTACGTTGAGGGATTCGCTTCTTCTCGGGGGCGCGCTAATTCGTTCCATGGAGTGAATTGGACTGCGCGCTGTTAAACTTCGGCGGGGAGAAGTACGATCCGGTTCGAGTCTCTCCGCCTCACCCGGCAATGAGCCTGCTGGGAAGACAAATGGGGCTGGTGATCTGGAGTAGAAAGCAACACTCCTTCCAACGTCGTTGGCACTGTAAGGGGCGAATGTTGGACAGGGGGGCAAAGCTGGCGAAGTAAATACACTATCCATGCCAGCTGAAGCCTTCTGCTCTCATTCATAATAGAGCTATCAGCGGTTTCAAGACTCAGCGACGAAAACCGCAAAGAGTCATTCTTGGAGAGTCGAAACCGGTTCGGCGGGTAGGCACATGGCGGCGGCGGCACTGGTTGATCTGGAGCAACACCCGGCCTTTGAGCGATAATGCTTGCCGTTCGTGGCCGCGAGCAAGACAAGTCGAATGATTGGTATCTGTCCTCCAAGACAGGGAAGAGGCCACTCGAATGATCCCTCTGGTATAGTGATGGTCCTGGTCCTGAAATTGGCCGTATACTTAGATCAGCATCGTGCTTCTCCTGTTCCCTGTCTGGTGTATTTCTGGGTGAAGTTTCTGTCGGCAATTCAAGAGCTCCATCAACTGCAGAGATCGAAACGTCATCCCTTGGCGAGGAGGGCCTCCGAGAGGCAGGTGGCCCATCGATATTCTCGGTCAAAGGTGTCAAAGAGTTTATCCGGTATGGCCTCAGCAGTCTCGATTGTCGATGGCAGCCGGACAGGGAGCGGCACAATGAACGGCCCTTCTCCGTCTGCGGAGATAGGGTATCCGAGTCGTCCTGTGAATGAGCTAAGCTTTCGTGTGATTCCAGCACACCCCACTCGTTTGGTCGCCCGTATGGAAGTTGCCCGTACTGCCGGAGCATGGAGCCTTCTTCCCGAGACAGGTCGGTCAATGTCTCTGCGGGGAAGGTCTGCATCCCAAGTAATTGCTTCCCAGAGAACCGGCGCCGTCTCTGGCGTACCCTAAGCCATGCCAGAGTGCCACTTACTCCCCCCACGATGCAGATAGCCGCACAGACTACTGCTATCGCGACAACGGACGACAATTCCAACATCGTTGATTCCTCTTATGGTGGCCGACAGACTTTGTTGATGACCAACTTAGGAGCCCATTCATACAGAGTTCGATCCTATGTCTGCTTGATAACTCCAAAGGCAGCGTGCTGCTGCCTGGAAGGGTTCGTGGAGAACGTCCGGGCGGCTAGGGAACCTCCTGTCGGTGCACACAAACACAATCCACGATAGCAACGCAGGAGGCAAAAGACAAAAACAGATGCAACCCGGAAAAAAAAGGTAGGCGTCTGGGAAAGGGGGGGGCGTCTGTTATGGAAAACCCGCTCGAAGCTTTGGAATGTGGTCACATTACAATTGAGTACGCGAGGAATGCTGCGATACTTGAATCCCCAGGCTCCTTGTCCTCAGGTCTATGATGACAAAGTAAATCATCAATTCAGGGGTACGATTCTAATATACAGTGGCGTATTCAAACAACTAAAAGGTTTTCCCTGACACCTGTATGTCCACGCCGTGGGAATGGGGCGTTTTTATGCTTAGGGTTACCCAACAAGGAGTCATCCTCGGAAAAGCGTTGTCACCCTTCCACGCAAGAAAGTCGATGCTGTAATTTGCGCACCATGAGGTCAGGTAATTCACAATCATGGATCATATTTCCGTTGTGCTGCTAGAAAGATTCGTTGTTCTGAATACAATATATAGACATTCGTGGGCACAAGATAGGGCACGACGTGTCTATACGCCGGTAATTGCTTAGTAACCACAGGCATGCATACCACCGAATATTCCAGGGAGTCCCAAGCGTGCATCCAAGCCAACGGTCTTGTCCTTGCACGATACGTAGTTTCGGTGCGAAGTCCCGTATTATAGGACTATTGGGATCATACAGTCCAAATCGAGGACCTGTTGGCACTGTTTGGCCATGGTATAATACCTGCAGACCAATGGCCATGGAAGATCATATGCAAAGATAGAGCGAGTTACTCATTTGGCGTACTCAAACGCGACAGACGGAACGGACTCAGGGAATGAGGGACCGTCATGGTTAGTTTAGTGATGGTAGTCAGGATCGGATCCTAGCAACTGCGGTAGATAAATGCATCGTCTGATGCACATGAATTAGCGTTCAACTGCCAGTTGTCATTCGGTTGGCGGGTAAACTTGGTCTCGTCGAGGACAGGTCATTGGCCGGGGGCGAGATGCAATGTAGGGTGACAATGCGCGTATGAGTGCTGGAATGATCTTCAAACGGGAGCATGTAGGAGGGGCATTTGTTTTGCTCGCCGGCCTCAGGCAGCCCAGGGATCACGGGACTTGGATCCAGGGACGAGTGGAATAGCATCATTGAGACCCACTTCAATCTCCCCTCTCACAATCTCACCCACTCTCTCTTTCCCCCACCTTCTCCCGGCACCAAGAGACAAAGCCATCCACTTTTTAGTATCAAACTTAATCATCACTCAAAGGAGATGAAAATAAGCCCAAAGAAACGTCGAACACAAAAAAAAAAGGACCTGTGGAAACTGATCGGTCTCACCGCAAAATGACAGGGCAATAATCCATGGGAACCGTCGAATTTTAATCTGCCCAGACAGGAGTGAAAGTTCGCGCGGATTCCCTCCCCCACGTCTGTCACAATGAATCCCGCCTTTAAGACGTTGGTTCCCTCTGGGTCCGGGGCGGCATAGCGTCATAACCCACCGGGGCCCAGATCTCGACTTTTCCCAGAGCCACTGGGACAACGTACGTGTTGAGATGTGGAAGGTCCGTCGCTATTGAACCTTGTTATAGTGTGTGTGTGTATGCAACGCAAAGCATGAACAACATGAGAGACAGCAGAAAATCAAATAACCAAAAAATCTAAATATGAATAATCATGTTCACCCGCCATAATCTCTCTCACCGATCCCAGCTAGTACCCTGTGTGCGCAGCTCCCGTGCTTATATATAGCTATCTGTTGTCGACAGTTCGACTTTTTCTTATCTTCCTCTCCCCACTCCTACCTACTACCTCTTCCTTTTCTCTCCCCCGTTATTTCCAACGTTCTATAGAATATCCCGTCAGAATGGCTGCCAACCCCATCCAGAATGGTCTCTTCGTCCACGAGAACACTACTCCCCCCGAGCACCCCAGCTTGCTGAGCATGTTCTCTCTGAAAGGCAAGACCGCCATCGTTACTGGTGCTGGCGCCGGTATTGGTCTCGCTGTCGCCAACGGTCTTGCGGAAGCTGGTGCCAACGTTGCCCTGTGGTGGAACACCAACGACAAGTGCCCTGAGCGTGCCGCTGAGATCGCCTCTAAATACGGTGTTCAGAGTAGGTTCTTGCTCATCCGTTACGTCTCTTCACCGTCCTGTGTCTATATCATGGCCTGAGCTTTTACTGAATGTATCCAGCCAAGGCTTACCAGGTCAACATCACCAACGCCGAGGCCGTGCAGCAAGCCGTTGACCAGACCGTGAAGGACTTCAACGGCCGACTGGACGTCTTCATTGCCAACGCCGGTATCCCCTGGACCCAGGGTCCTATGGTTGACGGCCCTCTTGCCCACTACACCGACGTTGTCAGCATCGACCTCGACGGCACCTTCTACTGTGCCAAGGCTGCTGCCGCCCACTGGAGAAGACAGAAGGAGGAGGGAACCGATCTCAACGGCAACAAGTTGACCAACTTCACCTACGGTAGCTTTGTGGCTACCGCTTCCATGAGCGGTCACATTGTCAACTTCCCTCAGATGCAAGCTGCCTACAACGCTGCCAAGTCGGCCGTTATCCATCTCTGTAAGTATTCCTCTGTTTCTGATCTGTCTCGGACTCTACCAGGCTAACGCCTCCAGGCAAATCTCTTTCGGTTGAGTGGGTTAAGTACGCCCGTGCCAACACCGTCTCCCCCGGCTACATTGCGACCGAAATCTCCAACTTCGTGCCCCAGGAGACCAAGAACATCTGGAAGGACAAGATCCCCATGGGTCGTGAGGGTCGCCCTGAGGAATTGAAGGGTGCCTACCTCTACCTGGCCTCGGATGCCTCGAGCTACACCACCGGAGCAGACCTGGTTGTCGACGGTGGCTACTGCGCTCCATAAGTGATATCCCTTTTTAATTTATTATGTCCCGGCGATTCTTTTACATCTTGGGTTTACTATACATAACGGCTTCAAACGATAAACAATAGACGGCTGAACGATCTTTGGATGTCCAAAAATGTATTGTGTGTGAATTTGGAAAAGTAAATTCGGATCTTGAAACCCTGGTGGCGTTTTCCTTAGGGTTCCTGCACCACGATCAGGCCTTAAAGTCACGGCCGTGGACGGTGACACGAAGCCTTGCAGATGTGGCTTGCAGCATATCATCTCTTGGCCCAAGGGCATTGGCGCGTGACTCCCGCAAATGTCCGCCACTTGCCAGGTTAAACGTAATACTTTTCTTATCAGCCGTAACCGCCCTTAGTAGTTCACTGACAACCCCTCTTCATGTCCACGCCCAACCCTCGGGACAAAAATGTCATACTGCAGATATAGTTTCCCGAACAAACAGATATATCAATAATAATAGTCCTTTATTTATCTCACAATCCTCGTTGTACTTTATCGACCATAATCCTGACCGTTTGTTGATTTTTTCTAAGCATAGCCGCCGTGCCCTAATAAATTTATATATTCCCGACTATTACTTCCACACTGCTTCTCGACACACAAGACGAGGAAACGGGTCCATCTGTATTGAATCCAAATGAAAAATACAATACTCATCATAATCAACCAGCCGTATAGCCCAACGATATGAACTACATGCACAAAAAATCCTGAGACTATAAATCGGTCTCCATGCCAGCCCTAACTACCAAGACTTGAATTGATGGGGTAGAAGGTATGCCTCAAACCACTCATAAAAACATAAAGGGAAAACGCTAGTGCAGTATATAAGAGAGAAGGCTCTCCGGAAAACAGCATGTACGCAGATTTAGAATCCTCGTTTCAACACCTGCGACAACTAATACGCTCATTTACTAGTCACCATTGGATATGAAGAGTATTCCCTTAAGCTGTCTGTTTTTACCTTAATTAAGGTGCTCCCAGCGGGATATCATGCTGGAAGATCAGCTTCCCGGTGCCTCTCATGTTGCCAAGTACGGGGCTGTAGTGTAGTGAAGTAGGATGTGATTCAGCTGGAAGAACGTCAGGTAACTCTTAGCAGCAGTAAGCTTGAGTTAGATGCCCTGGTCAAGCACTCGAGGCTTCAAAGTGTTGGGGAATATATGTAGAGGAGGAGTGTATTAACTAAAAGCTGCGGTTGCCACTTAAAGGATATGGCCTATGGAATAGTAATTTCCGTGAGTATTTCAGTGAGACACGCCATACAAGTCAGGACGGTGATAAGATTTACTACGCCTTATTTGATACTCCTGAGCTCACTGGTATTTTAAGTGTTTATTTACGTTTATCTATAGTTTACTCTGGATGCAGATACCTGTTCTGTTCTAACTGGTCTTGTAGTCTAGAAGCTACCTACTGCTATTTTATAATTTCTAGATAATAGACTTGAATGGCCTGGAATTAGTCTCATGTCTTGACTATCGATCGGAGATCTAACCTTAGAGGATACTAAATCTTAGGAAATTGCTGTCATCGAAACCTGTAATATACTTAATCACTCCGCCCTAGCTCGTTTATACTTTAAGCAAGAAGCTAGAACGACAATTGGCAAGGGATAAGCTGTTAGTAGCTGGAGAGCTACCTCAAGCCATCTATAGCTCTTCCGACATATACATAATTGGAACTATTATGGGCAAAGATCTTTCATCCACTGAGAGTTGACAAGAGATGAAGTAAGAGGTTTCTTCGAAGTTAAATACTTTCTTAACCCTTTGCATTGGCTTTACTGTTAGGAAGAGGGTTGACTACCAAAGCGATTAATAAGAAAACGGCTAATGTCTAAGATATAGAAAAATAAGCCTGTGTATTTCTGGGCGCAATCTATAATTTCTCTACAGAAACATCGACTACTATTCCCAGCACCAGTACAATAATTGACAAGATCAAG